TACTATTAATATCTACTATTTCAGCACTAATTCATCACCATTCAAAAATTGTTAATCTCTTTCCGCCACAACTATTGAAACGAACAATCCCCTCGATCTGAAATCCAAATACAAAATGAAACTCAACTCGACGAGAAAATCGACTATCGCTCTATTATAGGAAACACTTATCTTTCCCTATTAATTTGAACGCAGTGGCAGCACACGCTACCGTGTTTCGATCTGTTATTTTCCTAGCGGCGTTCATCGATGGCTCGAATCGCAATGCGTGGCGGCACGCCGCGAACGACTGCAGGGGAGAATAAAATAAAAGGGCTCACGAGATGTGACGCCGCAGGGACAGAGGAAAATAACGAGCGAACCGTGAATAACGCCGTCGATTTATTTACGACTCGTTTCACCTTACGTTCGTACAATTTTCTTTCTTTTTTTCGTTCTTTCTTTCCTCTTACATTTTTTTTCTTTTTCCTTTCGATCTCGCTGTTCGAGCCAAGCCAACCAGCCGACAGTCGATTCGCGGATTCAATTATACCTGTACGTGGGAGCAGCTCGTATCCTCACGATTTCTGGCGTTCCTCCGGGGAAATTGTGAACACCGTAATTCCTCAGCAACGAAGGTCATTAGATTAATCGTCGAAGAACCGAGCAGTTTATCTTCGAGATAATCGTTTATTTCTTGTGCTCCTTGAGAGGATTTGCGAAATTGTGCTGAAGAGGTTGTGGTAATTATTAAGGTAGTTGGTAAAGTATTTATAGATCAGTTGTCTTTAATGAAAAAACAGATGTTGCAAATAAACACTTTGTTATTAGAAAACGAAAGTTCAATGTATAATTTCCTTCTTTCGTAACATTTAAAAGTTGAATATATAATTTAGATTTCCATGAAAAAGAGATTGTAATATTTCAAAACTTAAGTCCATATTCAATATTTTAATTATTTATTCTCGAAATACATTTAATTATCTACCCATTACATTAATATTTCTGAAAATTGTAGAATCAAGGAAAATTTTTTTTTCTTTTCTTTCTTTTCTAAATGTTCCCATGATGAATCTAAGATGACCGTGGACCGTGCTTAACGTTGTAACAAGTGTGCCCCGAATAGATATTGCTACGTGTTCGTGGAAAGTTGTAGAGTGGGGCCAATTACTTTGAAATATTTGCGCCCTCTTCAACGAGCCAGAAAAATTGCGGTCCCCGAGATGTAACACGGTAGACCGTGGACGGGATTCAGTTTAAGTGGAACGTATGACCGACTTTCAGGCGCGGGGAAGCGATATATCGCGGTCTGTCCGATGCATTTCTCCCCTGGCCTTGAGTTATGATAGGGTGCACGAATGGCGTGTCCGCAGGTGACGCCGTGAGAATGGAACTATTGGCTTGTGACACGAATAAACTCAATATTAGAATATTTGTCTTGATATTGAACTCTTTGATTTCTTCTGTCACTGTCTGATAGCCGATTTTGCTATATTATTTATATTACGCGTTCTAGAAATTTTCAATGAATTTGTAACGTTAAATAAGTTAGACTTTTATATTGAACTACAGTTGAATTACAGAACGTTGATGCAAATTTTATACAGGAAAATCTTAATAAAAGATGATTAATATTTTTCTAAGAGTAACAAAATGAAATTGACTCATCACGCGATGGTCACAACAATAATAACAATATCAATAAAGAAGTAATCAAGAAATCATAATTGAATAAGGAACAAAATCTCATCTATCATAAAATCACTTATCCAACGAAATTCATCACTTCCATTTCACTAAAATTTCCATTTAAACTCCGCCCGACATTTCGAAAAAAAGAAAGCGAAAAGGAGAAGTACCATAGAAATACGCGTTGCTTGAACGATGACAGCCGTTCTCGGCCCGTCAGCGCGCGCAATGTCCAATAAAAGAGGCAGATATACGCGTCAAATATTTTTCCGAGGACCATCTTTCGCGTAAATTCCATCAAAATCGTCGCATGTACACGTTCGATGGTATTCCCTCGTCAGCCGTAAACGCGGCCGAGTGCGGCGCGTCGGACGTGAAACAAGAAAAAGGAACAAGACGTAAAAAGACGCAGAATTTCCTCAGGAAAGCTCGCCTCGGCGCTCACCCCATCGAGCCCCCCGACCCTCGTCGATCGCGTATCCCTCGGAAACTCGTATGAATACGCGGAAAAATAGGTGGAAGTAACCTCTCCGAGGTAAACTACCGCCAGGGGAGCCGGCGGGTATCTACCCGCGTGCCGCGAATTCCAGATACCTTCAAAATTCAAGCCCCTTCCACGCACACACACACGCATACACCTTGTACTCGAAGCTCGGACCAAACTCTACCTACCGCTATGAAACAGAAAGGGAGTTGTCTCTGAAAAGCTATCGGAAGAACCCTGTAATATCTGAAGCGATACGCGCCTTTTGTGCAGGTTATACTGTTGTTCAAAAGTAGAATGGTTGAAGTCTTCTTGTGAGGGTTTTGAAAATTTGAATTTTCAAAATTTCTAGATATTGAAATATATAAATTTTTTAATATTCAAATTTCTAAATTTGCAAATTTGCAAATATTCAAATATCAAAATTTAAAAATTTTCAAACTTTCAATCTTTTAATCTTCCAATCTTCCAAACTTCCAAACTTCCAATCTTCCAATCTTCCAATCTTCCAATCTCTTAAATTTCCATATTCTCAAATTCATAAATTTCTACACACCTAAATATTTAAATATCCAAATTTTTAATTGCCCAAATTTTCCAATATTCAAGCTTTCAGTTTTTCAAATTTCCATTTTCCATAAAGATCTACACCCTTAAACATTCAAATATCCAAACATCAAAATTCCAAAATCTCCAAACTCCCAATTCAAAAATTTTCTACATCCTAAATTTCTAAACCTTCCAAAAAATCATTATTCGCTGTAATAATTTAAAAAACAGTCAGGATAGTACAGACAGCTACTGCTGCTCCATCCATCTTCTTTTAAATTTCCCAGCTATACAACCCTTCCTACGAACATCCACATCCAAATTTACATTATCACTTTATACATCACCACTTCCACAGAGAAAGGTAAGTGTCCGCGTATTTTTGAGCGGCGTTGTACACGCGTAAAGAAGAATTCTATTTGCTGGGGGTCGTGCGCTACCCCCGGGGACCCGTGGCCGATTCCTAAGAAAGAGAAAACTTCTAAGTGGATTACAAGCCGGAGGGAGCTGAATGGAAGTTCGGCAAGGGCGAATATTTTTTTTCCCTCGCCTCCCCTGCCCACCCCGCGAGGAATCTCGTACACAGGGCGCCTTTTACTGGGTTGGCATAAATTCTGAAAGCTTGGGATATTGAACATTTTTTTGGGGATGGTTCGCTTCAAAGGGGGCACACTTCGGTACGATGAGGATAGTTTTTGATAAGGGATCTTTTCTCGGAATTCTGGAATGGAATGTATATACACGGTGTCCAGTTGATATTTAATAGGGAGAATTTAGGGGTTAGCCAGTTTGAAGGGACTTGAAATATTAGAACTTGGGAGAGCTTTTTGTTGGATGGTAAAAAAGAATTTTTAAGGAAATGGGGTTTGTTTTTAGAGAGATAATTTTGAGATGGAAGTATGGGTATGTTAGGTTGAGGAAAGATTTTGGAAAAAGTATTGTTTAGAAGTTGATATTTGTATATGGAGTGTTCTGGATGTGTTAGCGACCGTCGCTAACACGGTTTATGGCACGAACGTGCGTGAAGGGCTATTTTAGAGATTTAGGATTTTTAGGTTTTTAGTAAGCATGTGTTTTTAGAGTGTAATATACTTCCTGGCGAGAGAAGACGATTTATGAGTTAAAAACTGCGAGTTTTGGAAAGTCGCTTCTCTCGTCCCTCAATAGCCGTGGCCGTGCCATAAACAGGGAAATTCCGAAGGGTAGTTGGACACGTGCATGTAACGGTAAAGATACCGAAGGTCCGCCACCTGGACAAATTTCCACCAGCGTTGTCTTCGCCCCCACACGAGCACCGCGGCACCCCTCCCCAAGTGAGCGCGCTAAGGGCGCAAGGAAGAGTGTCTGCGTTAAGTTAGGTCCGCTGATTGGTGACTGCCAAAATGAGAAGAAACCAATCAGCGGACAATTTAGAAAATAGGGACTTGGCGATCAAGAGCGAAGCTGGCCAAAGTCAGTCGCTCAAACACGAGCATTTAGTTAGCAAATACCGGAACAAGATAGTATCTTAGACTATTAGCAATGTAGTACCCTTTAGAAACCTAAAGACAAGTCAGGGAAACCAAGTGCAGTTTTATTAAGTGAATGGTGAGCCAATTAAGTGAGCGGGTTAACCATTCTGGTTCTTCGAGAAGGTGCTAACTAGAAACCAGGTCAGAGTGCATTTGGAGGTACGCGTGTACACCGTGCGCTAACAGGATGAACGTAGCTATTTGAATAGCTTCTTTATTTTTAAGAACGATTATTGTAGAATTAAGTACGATTAAATAAAGGGCATTATGTAGTGTTAGCAATTTTAAAAATTGAACTTGGAAGTTTAAAGAGTGGAAGTATTTGTTTATTTACTTATTATTATTAGTTATTGAAAATATAGATTGATTAAAACTTTAATAAATGGAACCTTGTAATTTCGATAAAAATATATTTACAACTCATTCAAATTCAACTGCTCCATAATTCGAACGTTAATAACAAATTAATTATCTAATTTCTTCATTTCAATTTTTGCATAGCTTTATAGTACCCGATATATCAGACACTGTAACATCTATCGCGTTACATCGTTCTCGGCCGTTACCCGGGCATTACGCGATGCACGGCCGGCGTACCGAAGAGGTTAATTACCGCACGGAGGCGCATCGACGGATTACAGTTACGTTTTCCTGCAGCGCAGGCACGCAAACCCGCACGAGAAAGAAAAAGTCCGGTGTATGTCGTTGCCTGGCCAAGACTTTGTCCGCGAGTTTCACCGATGCGCCGCGGCGGGCGTTACTCTAATAGGATTCAGCAAATTACTTACCAACAAGTCCCACGGTGCTGTACAGCGATTCCCCTAGGATTCCCGTGATCTAGGGAAAAAAGAAAGAACACGTTAGTTTTATAATTCTTTTAAGGAAAAGTTTTGAAATAATTCTATTCACAAGAAACGCTAAATTTTCGTTCGATGATTTAGCAACGAAAGTTTGCAGATATAGAATTTCCCTAATTCGGGAGAAACCTTGACATTAAAATTCTCTTGAATTTAAAAGGTCATTATTTTTATTTTTCGAAGTAATTTAGGAATTAAGGTATATTATCTCATTATATGTATATATCTCCATATTATTCACAATATATCACATTATTTAGTTATTTAATTCCTTATTTTCTTATTTACTTAATTAGTTACATAGCAATTTAGTTTCTTAGTTTCTTAATTACATAGTCACTTAGTTATTTAGTTATTTAATAACTTAGCTTCTTAGTTACGCAGTTTCTTAGTTACTAAATCACTGTAACACTTAATTCAATATAAGTCTCTAAAACCACCATCTTCATTTGTCAAAGTAATCTGGGAATTAAAACATAAGATCTCCTCACGTTTCAATATTATTCACGATACATCGCGTTACTCGGTATAATTTAATTGATCATCAAGGATTAATGTTATCCTTCATCTTTCAGGGATACGTCCCGAACGATCACCGTTCGTTCACGGTGAAAATCAACGAGCGAAAGAGTGCTCGTGTTCGCCGTGAGTCAGGAATAGATCAGACAACTCGATCGTGACATGGCTTAACAGCCTCTCTTCAAACCATGAACCATCGAATCATGATTTTCCAACTTTCGAACGTTTCCCGGCTCTATCATCCGCACAGCCATCATCTCCACCGTCGGAGAAATTAATACCACACGCGACGGGTCACACGGAGCCAACACATGGCGTGCGTGATTTGTGATCGAGGGGGGCTATTATCTCGATCAGCTGGAGCCAGCCGCGGGCTCTACATCGAAAGCTACTTTCCATGGGGGTAGACCATGTCACGGATGATTCATCAATACAGCAGTAACAATGTTGCGTTCGTCACGTGTCAATGAACAGAAATTATGGCAACATATTCTGACAACAAATAAAAATGAGAAATGTAATAGATTGATGATAAATAGAGCTGAATAGGCAACAATAGAGACAAAGTAATTGCTTGATGTGATTAAGCGTTGTGCTGATTTGTAACTAAACTGTATTTGTGATAGAAATACAATAAAATATTAAAATTAATGTTGCTATTTACTATGTTAGAAAATATAATATTATTACTTACTATATTACAAACTATAATATTGCTACCTACTATTTTACTAAAGCCAATATTGATATCAAGACAATTAAAACAATTTTTATATTTTGTAATTTATGGACCCAACAAAATATTTACTATTGTTTAATTTCTCTACTTTTTCTATTATCGATTTTATAATCCGTTTTTCAAAACGCAGGTTCTGAAATCCATAGGTAGTTGCAATTTCTACTCGACAATAATTACTATACACTGAAGACCTGTGATGTTCTTGAGAGGGAATAATGGATCACAGCCACTGTGATTGTCGTTGAATCTACCTTCGAGAAACAGATTATATATACATCCGACGTTGGGTAACACAACTGTAGTCACATTGTTTCTATGTGCCAAGCAGTCGGAGTTAGGTAACTACTAGTCACCAATGTATTCCGAATGCTCGACGTCAAGTAAGTAACTACAGTCACCACTTGTATAACATCGAGGGTTTGACATTGATATACAGGATGTGTCCTATAGTTACAGTACTTAGTATATATCCTTTAAAGGAATATCTAAATTTCAGGAAAGTGAAAGTAAATCACAAAGAAATTTTACTATATTTTAATGACTTGATTGTAAGATTATTAGTTTCGAGATTAAATACTAGAAATTAGAAACTAATCTTGAGAATAGATAGTACTCGCAAAGTTAGATATTAGAAATCGACTTCACTTAATTACTAATCACCTTTCACCACACAACTAGTAAGTAATATATCTAACCTGCAACCCCTAAATTCATACAACTAGTACTTAACCTCTAACCTGTAATTTCATTAGTACTTTCTAACTTCACCACTAAGTTTCCCAACCTCCAATTTTACAATTAATGATTACATACCAATTAGAGAGGCAGACATCAGAAGCTACCACTAAAATTAAAAGACATTCTATAAACAACCAATAATTAAGCAACATACCAAGTAAAAGCGAGAAAACCATGATCCCATCAACCCTCTAGCGTCGTATACTGTAACTATCGCCGCAACTTCAAGCGTTCCACGTTAAGTAACCTTAATCACAACTGGCATCGAGCTCTTGACATTGAATAACTACAGTCACCGTTACTGTACCAGGCCTCAACGTCAGTGGATCGGAATGACTATCACCATCACAGCTAAACCTTGGTAACGTGAGGATTAAAGAGAAGTTTGCTATAAGTCAGGGTCAAATTTGATAAACGATCCTCGGAGTAGACACTGAGCCGTTGGGTCATCTGTAAATTGTCAACGACGGTGGACACATGGATGAAATTAGCGAAAGGCAGTGGGTGACATGGTTCTCTGGTAGATCTAAAGATGGCCACGAGTCGGTTTAAAATTAACCCTAGGATGGTGGACGTGGCCATCGCTGTTATAGGGTTAACGTCGTTCAGTAGCCAGACACAGCGACTGGTTTTATGTAGGACGGTAGTATGCCTCAAACCGCGGGGGGGAAATTAATACCAACCGGCGTCGCGAATGAAATTAGCGTCAATTGCGGTTGTCGGGCAAAAATACTGGCATTTGCGGTGGAACCAGGCGCCGCTCGCAGCCGTAAGTGACATCGGCGCACGCTAATTATTCGAAACCTTTCGCGTTCCCGCGTGCCGCGATGATTATACAATGTTCCGTTAGAAAATTGTTCGGTTGCAACCGTGTGTTGCGACACTAATTGCTTGCAGGGTAATCGATATTCCATGATTTGGAATTTAAGGTTCGAAGTTTCTAAACATAATGGCTTTGGGTTTCAGATTGTTCGAATCTTTAATGAAAAGACCTGACAGAGTGCTATATAATCACTTTTGTAATATATTCTAATGAATTATGACAGTTGTATAATTGAAAATGATGTCCTTAACTTGAAATATGAGGTTCAAAGTTCCTAAAACCGATAACCAAAATTAATACTAACGAAAACAGCTACCTAGTTGCCAAACAAAGTATTTTATGACCCGTTAGCAAATTCTAGAACATCTGCTAAAAAAGCAGTGTCAATAACTCGAAACTTGATTCTCAAAGTTACAACGAATAACGACTAAAACTAAAACTATCCTAACATCCACTGAAAAGTACTATCCAAAACTTTATTTAACCTTTTTTAACTTTTTCATGCGCATTAAACCTCAACCCATTTCCCTCAAACATCTCTAAAAGCTGAATCCTACAAGATCAATCATCTCCAACTAACAATCCCACAGTACTAAACTCTATTCCCCATGCATCGAAATGCACTCTGAACTTTCTTCATCGTGTCAACCTTTCTCCCCTCTAAGTTCTCGCGATAACCGTGGAAGCAATTAGTCAACAGTGTACACGCATGTAATACCCGGCTCATAATGCGTCTCCGAGGGAGATCCATCCTCCTAAAAACCGTTCCCCGTAACTTTACGGTTCGCACCGGCACCGTGTAACGGCGGATTAAGGGGCCAGCCGACCACTTCCATGTTCCCGACTCGTTTCGCGCCCCTCGAAACACCGTACAACGCCTTAGGGACTTTTCCTGTTACTAGCCCGGCCGCTGGAGGGTAAGAGGGCCAGGCGCGCCGCGAATCGCTCGTATAAAAATACCATTATCAAACGTCTAGACGCGCGGAGATGATGCTGCCTTGGTTTCAATGCATCCTCACCTCGGGGCATCCACGGATCGAATATATTTATGATGTTCTGCGATTTTCACCTGAGGATCATCCC